CCCAGGAACGTGAAGCGAAAAAAAAAAAAGTTTTCTTTTAATGACGTGCTGAACTTAAACACTATTAGATATGTGCTGCCTGTGGTGTTAATTTAAATGCGATACCTCAAACAACTTAGACGAAAATAAATATCAAGTTTAGGTCATAATTGCATGCAGATACATGTTTGGACATTTCTTCGGAACTCACGTTGAATAACAATCATCACATCTTAAGACGACACTTACCTAGGCTATACATAGATCATTCTTAAAAAAGTATACCATAAATAGCTCCTCCGGCTGCAGCGTGCTTCAAATCTGGCACAAATGATAATCGTCAAAAACTCGTCGTCCTTCCTCGCCCCTTCGGGGATTTATTTCTTTAAACCTAAGCATGCCAGAACATTGAAATAGACGACATTTTATTTCGTAAGGAACGCAGCACCGCGTGTAAAAGTTCGAGAAAAAAAAATTACGAATGTACCCCACTACTTGAAATCAAATGAAACCGTCCGCCGGTCTTTCGAAGTTCGACGAACGTCGAACTTTTACCCTAAAAGGTCGAAGTTCGTCGAACTTCGGACATTTCAGAATTCGAAAGTTCGAAACTTTTCGATTTCTCTTGATAAATAAGTTCGAAAATTCGAAATTCATCGATTTTTTGGTCACTCAAGTTCGAAAGTTCGACAAGCATCGAACCTTGCAGCGCAATAAGTTCGAAAGTCGAAAAAGATCGAATTTTTTAGCGTAATAAGTTCTACGGTTCGAAAAGTGTCGAAGTTCTTAGCTTAACAAGTTCGAAAATTCGACCTCCGTCGAATTTTACGATATAGACCAGGGGTGGCCAGGCTGGCTTGGCCTAAGAGCCGCAAACAAAACCACAGAACTTCTAAGAGCCGCGGGGGGACAAATTTATCTTTTTTTCGGAGTCTGACTGTACGTATGGGGGCACAAGGCTGTACGATTGTACGTATGGGAGTACAAGGCTGCCAAACTGCCAGCTGCAGTGTGCTTCATTCTGAAATCCTTTCTTTTTTTTTTTTTCCTGGGGAAACGCGGAAAGGGACGAAGGGGGGGGGGGGGGGGGGGAGGGGGGGGGGTCCTTTTACGAGGGATCTGCTAGCCGCGCTTGGACCAGCAAAGAGCCGCATGCGGCTCGCGAGCCGCGGTTTGGCCACCCCTGATATAGACAATTCGAAAAATCGAAATCTTTCGAACTTTTCGAACCGCTTGAATCGATCGACGAAACTTCGATTCGAAAAAAGTTCGCGGCATCCCTATCCACAACACTGTCAGCTTAGGGCTGAACGAGGTGGGGAAAGCAACTTTTGTTCGAGTTTTGAGCGACGTGCTAATCTTCTAGGGGGAGAATGGCTCTCTCCGGTTGCACGAACGAGGGTCCGAGAAAGAGGGGAGTCCTTCCTTTCCGTCTTCTTGAACCGTTTGGTACAATGCGCGACTTGTGAGTTGAGGAGGAAAGCTAAGAAGGAAAATGTTGAAATACCAAAGAGCGGCGCTGCTCCGAACGAAACTGCTACGTCACGACTACGTAGCAGTTTCCACCACGTTGCTAGACTACCTCCCAAATAGGCTCCTCAAGCATCCACCAGGTGCACATTGAAGATCGTTTATTTAGCTTTAAAATTAGTTTTCTTGTGCTTTTCAACGGAAGACTGGTGTTTTTGAGGTTAGGGTGCAACATGCAACACATTAAAGCCAGAAAATGAGCGCTGAAGTTTCGTTTTTAAAATACTACTTCAAGTAGGTTTAGAAAACTTGTACTTTACTTGAAGTACATTACCTGGGTATGTACTTGTACTTTACTTAAAGTATCTTTTTCTGGTATTTTCCGAAGAAAGTACAATTCCTGACTTCAAAGTACATTCCCCAAATTTGGTTTTGTTAAATTTGTATCACAAAATGATGCTTTGTCAACTTCGAAGAAATACTGGGAGAGATATTCTACTCTCACCAGAAATGTGAGCAGACGACGCATCGTTCCGTTGGTTCTGGGGGCGGCTTTCCCGTAGTTTTTCAACTCTCGCTACTTCTCGGTCGGTCAGCGCAAGCGAGGAGGTTTAAAATATTAGGAGAGCAAAATTAATCATAATGTAGCACCTCAAACTGTGGTGTGGAAAAATTAAACTTTCAAGTTGAAGAAGAAGACAACAGAGGAGAGCATCACAATGTTTTGAGACATTCTCTTTTGCCTTTTCCTTCGACTTGAAAGTTCCCTAATTTTTTTCGCACCCCAATCTCAAGTGTTACATTATGATTAATTATCACCAACTCGCTCGCACACTCACCGTTTTTTTTTTGTTATTATTATTAAGGAGAGGACACTTTTTTATGAGAGGATTGCTTGCGGAAGCTACGGGGCTGACGTCATGCTCTCCCCTAGCACATGTAACCCCCTTGGGTGCAACAATCCAGTGCAAGTGGTGCCGAATTCAGAAGAGGGACTTTTGAATTTGGTTCCATTCCCGAAGATAACTACTCTGTGGCCATTCGACTTTATCCAGTCACGGCCGCTGGATCTTCTTTCCGCGAGGGAGCGCGCAGAAAGAAGATCCAGCGGCCGTGATCCAGTATTCGCCGCAGTTTTTGAAAGTAGGTCTTGCACCCCTGATTACACATGCGCAATGCATACCTGTTAAAAAATCACTGTATAGAGGAATGAAATGGCATCATGAAAGATTGTGTTAAAATACTTGTACTTTACTTTGAAAGTACTTTGCATTTATAGTACTTTACTTCAAGTACATTGCACCCAGTGTACTTACTACTTTACTTGAAGTACATTACGTCTTATTTACTTTGTACTTTACTTGAAGTAGCTTTTAGATGTACTTTACCCAACACTGGAATTTTCTACCGTTTCATCTTGTTTTATTACATCGATTTAAAAAAAAGAAGGGAAATGTTATGCACTTGGTTGAAATATCTGAACTGAAGAACAGCAAAAAAACAAGCAGTCTCGTGTGAACACACGAGTTCATCAGTGATAAAAAAAAATTAACTTGATATTTTATGTGCATACCGAGGTGCCCAACTTTGATCCAAACCAAACTCAACCTCTAGTCCTGGGTAGTCCTGGAACCCTAGCCTTCAAAATAGCCCCCCCCCCCCCCCCCCCCCCCCCGGGGCCAATTACAAAAAAGAAAAAAAAAAAAAAAGTAATATTTTTTTGTCGAAAAATGTAAATTACGCGTTGCCGAACGCTCATTTTCCGCCCAAATTTAGCTATAGCGGTCCGAAGCATATGCCGAAGTTTCAGCCCTAACCGCTATTTTATCCAAAAGTTATAACGTATTATAAATGATTTTTTGAAATTTTCATAGGGAAAATGGTGGCCGACAGAGCTTCGAATACGCTAAGATCTTCAGCGCCCGTTACTGAAAACGAGGAAAAATGAGACCCATTTTCTAATTTAAAAAAAAAAAAAAACTCAGAAGATAACTTACTTTTAAATAAAATAACAACTGGCTTTTTTTTTTTTTTTGCGGTTTGGGCGAGCTGTTTAGCTCGCCTGCACCGTCTCATTTATTGCATTAACATACAAAAAAAAAAAAAAAAACTGCGAATTTTTTGGGGGTAGTAGTAGCATACGCTCTACGTATGCTACTACTACATGGAGGGACCGGAACATCGCCACTTTCTGTGAATGGCCATCTCCGCGCCGCTAACTAATCGCAACATCACAGGAGGCGGCGATGTTCCGTCCCGGTCATAGAGTTATTATAATGTACGCTAGAGGTTCAAGTGGCGCTAGTGTGCTGACGCAAATTGAAGCAGACAGCAACCAGTCGAAAATTGACTTCCGGTAATGCATTTCTATGGGAAAAAGTGAGTGCATTTTCTCTCTGCGCTCGATCATAAGAGCAAATATCCCGAAAAATTCATACGCACTAGGTAGCTTGGAACATTTCTCAATCAGGCCGACGAAATAATTGGTCAGTTACGGTGTTTTTCCTTCAAATTCATCGCATTAAAAACGGTGCTAAAACAGCTTCGCACGTGTATTTATGTGCACTGTCGGACACTGCTAGCGCGAACACGACGTCGGAGCTTTTCAGCGTGGGGGATATACGTGCCAAGCGAACGAAAAACATCTGGAAATTAAGAAAGACGGCAAGAACTACGCAGTAACACCGGATCAGTAACTACACGTGCACATACGATCAAAATTAATTGAAGGTCACGTAATCTATTCCTATTTTAAATAAGTAAGTACCGTTTTATTCTTTCTGCTCTGAGCGAAGCTGCTTGTTCTACGTTCAAAATGTCACTCGCACGCTCGAAATCTTTGAGAACAAGTGCCAGATAAAAGCTGCCCGCGGCAGAGAAAACAATGCGAAGAGACAACTTTTATTGCCCACGGACTTTATTCTCTACGTTTTGAATGTTTTTATCCGCTCATGCACGACGGGGTCATTTTTATATAGTGACAGGACTGGCATATTATCAATATATAAGCGTCACCGGATTGCTGGCGAGCCTTAAACACACTCTACATTCCTTTCGATTGTAATTTTGTTTCGAATCGTCGCTTGTTTCTACACACCTGCTGCGGAACACACGCTTGGGACTGAAATGTAGCGAAGTTAAACATCGGTCACTGATGAAGAAAAATGCGCTAACTAAAGCAATTACACTTTTACAGTGTTAATCAAGGTACATACTATTCGGTACGACCCAAATAACCAAAGTGTTCCGTGTTATTTTCCGGCGAAGAGACAAAATGCATGCCCGCTTTCCCATAGGAATACACAGGAAGACTGGAAAAGTAGACTGGTTGCTGTCTGCTTCAATTTGCGTCACGGAAGTCGCATAGACACTAGCGCCAGTTGAACCTCTAGCGTACATTATAATAACTCTATGGTCCCGGTATTGTACCGGGACATCGCCGCCGTCTAGATTAGTGTGTCACTGGGAGGGGCAGTTAGCCCGCTGAGCAGACGCTTGTATGACGTCACGTCGAGACATCAGTCAGAATAAACCGATTCCGCTACTTCCTCAAACGCCCGTTTGGCTGTGCGTCGAGCGGCGTGCAAGAAGCAACACACGCGTTTCGTGCGTGCGACCCGTGGTAGCGAGGTCTGTACGTTTGTGTCGTGAATTGTAGTTATGGTCCGAAAATTGAAGTTTCACGAGCGAAAGCTCTTGAAAAAGGTTGATTTCATATCATGGGAAGTCGACAACAACCTACACGAGGTCAAGGTGATGAGGAAATACTTCATACAGAAGCGAGAGGACTACACGAAGTAAGAAGGTCGCCGGTGTTTCTCGGCGTCTATTTTCGCGAGCTTGCTTTGACGTTTGCTTGTGGTTTTTGCTAATAATGCATTTTTTATTGCAGGTACAACAAGCTCTCGAGGGCCATCCGTGATTTGGCGAGAAAAATTAAGGAGCTTGACCCAAAGAGCCCGTTTCGTGCGAAAGCCACCTCTGATTTGCTGAATAAGTTGTGAGTAGTCATTCCTAAATCACCGAGGGACGTCGAAAGTAGCTGGAATTGTGTTACACGACTTACAAGGTACAGCCGTGTGGCCGTAGACATTTAAGATAGTTTGCAAATCTGGAGTTTCGAACCTGAAGAGTTGTTACTCTAGACGCAGACCAAGTTTTACAATAAGTTTGTCCTCATTATGTTTGTTAGGCAGGGCCTATTGTCCCAGCAGCCGGGAGAATAATTTCTCCGAAATTCTACCTCCAGTTACCTCCCCTTGACTGTCTGTAATCATGTGACAACTGTCGGTAGAATACTTGCTTTCTTATACTCCCAGCATTTTGTGGAAAAACGTTTCATGGACAACTTTCCGTGGATACATGTTCCATGGACACACGTTTCATCGACACTAACATTTCATTCTCACTTCTTACGCGAATTTCATGCTTTAGGGACGTTTCGTAGCGCATGTATCAGTGGGGCGCGTGTTAACCTAAGCGGCCCACCCGTACACACCACCCCGCAGCGACAGTCTGTGCCGGCTCGTTAAAGAAAAAAGCTTACCTGAGAATCCGAGCTGTCGATGAAACAATCTGTTGATGAGACGTCATTTAATGAACTGATTGCCATCGTACATGGGAGGCTACTGCCGTTAGAATTTTGTAAACATTATTCTCCCGGCTGCCGGTAGAATAGACAATACCTTTTTATTATGCTGGTTGCAGAATGTGAACTTGCAAAACATGCATAAAAAAGTAAGCTTATGCTGTTTTTTAATAAATTTGGTACAGGGACGGGTAAACTCGGTACACTAGCAATCTTGCAATAACAATAGAGGAGCAGTGATGTCTCGGTTCTATGGATACCTCCATTCCCCCGACACTCGTCCATAATGTGAGTGGACCACAATAATTGGACAAAAATGCATGTAGTTTCCAATTCGTCCCCCTAAACCCATTCTACACAGAAGTGTACCTACTATATTAACAGGGTCCATATTAACGAGACATGACTGTAGTGTCCCTCTTTTCCCTGGCCATGAAGGCAAGTTTCAGTAGCGTGTACAGTGAGCTTCCATGGTATAGGCAGAGGCCTTTCCCCTATGATCTGGGCTTTTATAAGCCGAATAAAGCATTATTATTATTATATCTGTCGGACTAGCTCTGAGGGAAATTAGGTTCAGGGCATTTAATTTGGTTGAACAGTTTTGAGCAACTGAAGCTAAACAAACGGGTACAGCTTTTGCCGAGTCCTTTGCATCATAAAATATGTTACAGCAGAAGACAGCAGAAGCACACCCACGACTATCTGTGAGGTAGAAAATAGACAGCCAAAGCATTCATCAGCCTCTGCGGTGGATGTCAGACACTCAAAAAAATGTTTTGTGGGACAAAATTCTCTTTTACACTTCTTGGTACTAACCATCACAAGTTGCTCAGAGTTCATTATTAACTTTACGTGCCATCATAGCCTCCGGGATTCTCTCGCCTCGGAATTTATCATTTTTACCTGGCCTTATTGTTTGCAACCTCAGTGTTCATATTTTCATGTTACAATATTTTATGTCATTTGCCCTTGTGCAGCATCTAAATACTTTGACACACAATTAGCTACTTAAAGACCATGACCGTGATTGTGCCTTTTTTCTGTCAGGAACACCGGCGGTGAGATGTCTGAATAACCTTTAAATGCATCGACAACGTCAGCACTCTACCTTTTTTATAGCTCACTAACGTGTGTAAGAAATGCACTAATGCTGTTTGTCAGGATGATCCTATTTACCAAGCTTTGCAGCAGGGACATAAAAAAGTATGTACATGAAACATGTTGAAGCTTTGTCTTCGTGTAAATTAGCAAGACTTTTAGCAAGAAAAAGTTTTTGTAAGCCACATCCTGTGTGACGCGGGCGGACCTGTGTGGTAGTGAATGTGAGCTTTCCCACGGAAAGGCCCAAAGATGAAATGCACACAGTGTGACAACAAACATGTCTCAAACTGGAGAATTTTTTCAGGGTGTCAATGAGATTTCATCAAGAATTCAAAAATATCCTGGGACGAGATGCTTAAACCTGAACTAGATACAGCTTTCTCAAATGTCCTTTCTTCATTTTGGTTTCTTTATACAATTGAAAGCATTGGTGTAGAAGTTTGTTTTTGTTTCGTTGAAAATGCAAAGCATTGTTCAAACGGCATTCCCCTTGCGGTGGTTATGATCAGGCCTGGTGGTGACTGGTAACATCTGTTTGCTCTACTGACTCTCAGCTCCTGGTTAGCTCAGCTGGTAGATCACACTGCTACTTTTGGAGAGGTCCTGAATTCAAATCCCGGATCAGGCAGATTTTTTTAGTGGCCAGCAGGCCACTGAAAAAATCTATAGGTCATGAGTGGCACTCCGTTTTAAGTGGAAGCCAATTTATTCTTACGTAAATCTTTTCTACTTTGGGGACTTTCTCTAAAATACGTTATAGCAAGGCTTCTCTTTATTATGTTTAAGTGTTCTTACACACAAAACCGCCGGAGGAGTCCTAGAGTTTGTTAGATATGTCGTTGAGGTGAATCAAGATGGCTGCTTCCTTCATATGAGGACAATTGTTTTTGAAGGGCATTTCAGGAGATGAATGGAAATGTGAACGACCCGACCAAAGAAAATTAATTGCTTCCTGGAAGAGCCTAAAGTTCAGGATAGATGAAGTCGAAGATGTTGGGATACCGAATGGGGTTCAAAGCCAAGCTCTCCACACTCTTCAGGAGAGGGAAAAGAGAGCAGGGGAGGGAAGAGAGAAAACAAAGAAGCTATAACCGATGGCTCACACTCTGCAAAAGCGCCCGGGGTGTGACAGCACAGGGATGATCAGCATTGGGAAAAAAACAAATGGAATGGCAGAACTTCCGAGATGGTTCTGAGGAATATTTATCATCTATAGTAATATGCAGTGTTATAATACTTCAATAGTAATACTTCCAGTAGGTTTAGCAAACTTGCACTTAATGTACATTATTTAAGTATGTACTTATACTTCAGTTAAAGTTTTTTTTTTTTTTTTTTCTGGTCCTTTTCGAGGAAAGTACAACTCTCGACTTTAAAATACATTCCCCAACTTTGATCTTGTTAATTTTGCATCACAAAATGATGCTTTGTCAACAAATAAGTGCCTTATAAGTTGATTGTGTTAAATAGTCCGTCAGCGAGAGTAACACTACTATGGTGGCCGCTGACTGTCCAATATTCGCCGCCATTTCCGAAAATAAGTGATGCGCTCCCGATTACCCCTGGGGCGATACATAGCAGTTAAAGAGAAAAAAGAAAAAAGAAACACTGCGTAAGGGAATGAAAGGGCATCATTGAAGATCGTGTGAAAAAGTATTTGTACTTGAAATATCATTGTATTTATAGTACTTTACTTCAAGTACATTGCGCCCGGTGTACTTACTAATTTACTTGAACTGCATAACCTCTCATTTAGTTTATACTTCAAGTACTTTTTAGACGTACTTTACTCAACACTGGTAATATGAACCAACGATTCCAATTTCGACTGCATACGACCGAGTGCACTACGACCGCTTGTGATGTCTTTCGACGAGAGAACACACTGTCACGCTGGCGCCATCTATGAGGTGGACCGGGAACTGCATTTCACTAAATAGAAAGTTTTGCGGTATTTTATAGATCAAATGTATGCTCTATCTATGAGAAGTGGGCGTTTATAACATTGTCAAGACTTTTTCAAACCAGTAGTGACAGAAATGTACGTAAATCGCAAGTGTTCCACTGCTGCCCGATAGATGGCGCCATTGTACTTGTAGGAGTGTTAAATTTCTATCTAAAGTGCTATTTAGCGGGGAGTAAAGTTGTTAGGGAGTTTTCGTAGATCACGTTTCCGCCCTCAGCTAACTCCTCCTCAACGAAGAAGCCTCTACTGCGCCTGCGCGCCGATGGCCTCGACTGAAGAGTTCCAGGTATCGGAGCGGGTTACAGGGCAGCGAAAACGATCTACGAAAACACCCTTTTAAGAGTGATTGCATTATATACAGGGTTGGGATAATCTCATTGTGATTTTATTTCGAGGAAGAGAAACATTATAATTGACGAACAGTACCAGTGTAATGTATGAAGGAGTGGGTACAAACAAGATGCTTATTGTATCGATAAAGTTGGCCAAAATGTCTACCAAGTAGTTGGCACAAATGAACATTTTACATAATAAAAAAGAGCACCTCAGAAATAATCAAGGGGATCCCCGCTAAGTAAAGTGTAAAGGGAAACAAAAATATTCCTCTTAAAAGGGGTTTATTAAAGGTAATGTGTAGTTAACTAAATCACTAGAAGAGCAACTAGTTAGCTTGATGCTGCCTTATAATTTGTGTTAGGTATTACTTGAGTGCGCTGCCTGCCAAACCGCGAGTTACAAACTTCCACAGTCTCTATGATGAGCTCCGCGCCATCCCGGCGGCTCCGAAGCAAAGCGCCGGCCTACGGATCTATAGGTGGAGGGTTAGAATCCCGAACGAGGTGCCCGCAATCGGACGGAGCCCCGCAGGGGGCACCTGTGAAAGCAGGTGTTTGGAGAGTGGCGTCTCCACGGACCCCGAGCCCCGCAGGGGGTGCCTGCACCTTAGGTTCTAGGTGCTTGGTGAGTAGCGTCACCACGGACCCCAGCCACGTGGGCCACCATACCCGCACGCAGGGGGCACCTACTATAGTAGGTGCTTGGTGAGTGGCGTCACTACGAACCCCGAGCCATGTGGGTTCGCCCACCCACGTCTGGCTGTGCGTAGCTTAACCCGTGTCCGGGGAAAAGGGGACCCTGGTGGTTGAGCTGAGCCCGGGGTATGTTTGGACCCTTCGGGGCCCCCCGGGCAAGGCAATACACCGCTTCGACCCCTGCTTCTCGTAGACGGGTGTCCTGGCCTGGCCCGACCAGGATGATTCAGTCAGTCGCCTCTTCTACCCTCTTCTTCCGTCTTTCACTTTTCCTTCCACCTCTTTCTCTTTTCTTCTACCTCTCTTCCTTCCTT